ATGGTTTATTGCAGTTGTCCTTAGAAATTCCCCACTATGATTTGCTCCTTTAAAACCCTCTCCCTGTTAATCATGGAAGTAGACAAGTAATAAATATCACTTTAGTGACTGCTCAAGTAAAACAAAGAAAGTCAGTTTTAAAAATATATCTGGACCAGAATAATACACACTAATTGAAAACGAGTCACTCTAGTGAGGCAAGTAATGAGGGACCGTAAAAGCCAGGATAATGTATTCAAAAGATATAAAAATTGGTCAGTTTGTATTTGCTAAGGCACATTTGAGCTTTAATTATTTATTACACTTCACTGCATATGGAGCATTATTTTATTAATTAGTCTTGAGAGCCATTCTAGTTGCAGTTGTTATGCTGCCCAGCTGGTTTGGGGAGCATAGCTCGACTCCCAGGGGTGTAGAAATTGTTTTGGGGACTGAGACTGCAAGGCCCCAACTACCTCTGTGAACTGTCTCAGAATTTTACCTACAGGGAAACCATACATCCCTCCATCACAGTAATTGACACTGACTGCATATTTTCACTTTCAGTAAAGAGTACAAGACATGATTTTTTGCTACAAGGCTTTATCATTAGTCTGCAATGATACACAAAGGAAATATAAATTACCTGATTTGTAAACATCCTGATTTATCGAAAAGTGAAAACATATTTGGTTATAGTTTCAACTTTTGACATTTTAAATGGGATTTCTATTCCCATAAAAAACAACAACCAAAGGTAGTAACAATTTACAGTAGCTAGTAAGCGGTGGTTTTAAAAAACAGGGATACACCAAATACATGGGGAACGAGTTTATGATAACAAGTGACCCATCTTGAAATCAAGCATCCTATATAAACAGTGTTTGATTCAAGAAACCCATAAAGAGAAAGATAATTTATAATCCTGGAAACATGACAAAGTAAAATGAATGTCTACAAATACAACACCTGTCAAAGACTAGATCTTCACAGCTTTGTACCAATTGTGTTTCCTTTCTTTCTTCCTAAGTGAATTCAAAAGATCTGACAGAGTTTCCAGAATTTTCCTTTGTTCTTTTTGTCCACAGGCAACAAGAGTAGCACCAACTAGACAGTTATTCCGGTACAACTATAAAGGGCTACTGCATAAATGTGACAAAACTCTGAGTAAACCGGGTGCTAAATTGTTCTCTCATCAACAATTAGGAGTGATGATATTCTTTGAGGGCAGAGAGTGTTTTGCGACAAGTATTTTTAAGGATACAAAGAGAAGCTCAGGAAAACACTGGGCCAGATGACAAGTAAAAACAGTGGGCATCAAAGTAGCTCCATACACTACACAAGGATGCTTAGTTGGGAATAAACAGAAAAATCCTCCAAGTGAGGAAGGAAAAGCACTCTCTATTCTTTCCTTCCCTGCCCTTGGTTTCAGTAGGCTAGAGAAGAGTGAAAAAAATTAAGATTAGTTCATGGGTTTTCTCCTCCTTTCCTCCTTCCTTATCTTCCTTTCTTAATTCCTTTGTTCCTTTATCTAGTCCATGTTTACCATGTGCTACGCACTTTAGGAGGTGCTGGGTAGAAAAATGACAACCCTGGGGTGACCAGTTAGCTCAGTCAGTTAGAGCGTGGTGCTGATAACACCAAGGTTGCCGGTTCAATTCCCGCATGGGCCATGGTGAGTGGCGCCCTCCCTAAAAAGAGTCAACTATGCCGTTGTAGCATGGAAGCAATTTGTGAACAGTGACCATGGCTGTTCTTCAATAAAGTAAAAAAAAAAATGTCTTAAAAAAATGCCAACCTTCTCCCCCAAAGAAGGCTGCTTGGAGCTCATGCTTCTGTGAAGGCGGTTGACATGAATCAAATAGTCACACACATCCATGATGACAAAGAATGTTAAGTTGTAGAAGGAAAAGTAGATGGTATTATGAGAGCGTATACTGGGAGATGGGATCAAATGTGGGCGTCAGGGGAAAGCTTGCTCGATGTCTGAGCCAACATGTAAAGGATTATTAGATGTTTACCAGGACATTATAAGGGAGTAGGTGTGGGTAGAAATGGTTTTAGACAGAGGATCAGCACATTCAAAGCCACGCCTGACAGGAACATGGAGAACTGGACAAACCAAACCAAGTCCATGTGGCTAGTGTACAGAGAGCAAAAGAAAGAGCAGCAAGAGAAGGGTGAACCACACCAGCCAGGTGGGGCTTTGGGGTCCTTGCTGAGGATTTTGGTCTTTTCCTAAGGGCACTGAGAGGCCACTGAAGAGTGTTAAGGTGAGGCTGACATAATTCAATGTATGTTTTTGCACAGATTACTCTGACTGAAATGCAGATTACATTGCAGGGTGGCAAGAGTAGATGCAGAAAGGTTAGGAGAAATGGTCTCTTGTAACTGTGTCTGTAGTAGACAAGAGTCAAGAAATATTTTGGAGGTAAATTGCCCCAGTAATGTGTTGGAGACTAGTCATCCTGAAAAGGCACTATGCCAGACTGCTCTGTTGTTGTTTGGATAGGAGGAAGAACTTAGATTCTCCAAGCTTTAGGGTTTGGAAGATTGCAGCAACAAAGAAGGTAATGAAGCAAATACTATTACAGTTTTGGAAAGGAGTTATTAAGATGTTTGATGATCGATTCTAAGTTGCACTTGGAGGGAGGTGAAGGTAGAGGAGCCGTGACACTAATGTATAGAACACAGAGTTATCAATGGGCTGGAAGCACTGATATGCAAGAAAGGTAATGGGTAGGCATCTGAATAAGCACACTGGCTAAGTGGGGATTAAGTCACTTCAATCTGGTGCATGTTACCCACAACTCTAGCATGACTACCTCCAAAAAACATATTACTGGTCATGAGATTCCTAAGTAAGAGGACTGAGAATGGTAAGTACTAACATTTTACCATAGGTAGCAAGCAACCAAAGTCAATCGCCAGGGAGAGTGAGGAAGTAGTTATAACAAAATGCTGGGTAGAAGGGACTGTGGAAATTATATGGACCAAATTCCTCATCTTACAGCTGAAGACCAAAGTCACAATCACAAGCTAACTTATGGAGGAGTCTGACCAGAATCTCAGTCTCCTGACTCCTAGTATACTTGTCCAATGATTCATCTTCTTTAGTTTCTGGAACTAGAATAAAATTACCCTTTTGTAGAAATTCTATCTCAATTTGCTATGTCATATAATGCATTCTATTTCAAATGCCCATTCTTCTCAATGAATGCTCTTCTACATACACACCAGAGTGTTTTGACTATTTATTCAAAGTTGGAACATAAAAAAAATCACTATTATATTACACCCTACCACAAAAACTAATTTAATATTCTGACTTATATGAAGGGGAATGGCTAAAAAAGAAACTGGTGGTTTCCTTGGCAATTTTTTTTGCAAAGACTCCCCATCTCCCCTCATCTTCTCTTCCCTTTAGGTAACCTTCTATATTCTTTTCTCTGGAATAATATAAACCCTTGACCCTTTTTCAAGATGCTACCTTTGGCTGTGTCTCCACAGAGATCTTTCCTTTAAGTGCTGAATATATAAATGTGATACCATTCTATCAAGCTTTTCTTACTGGGTAGTAGTTTTCTTGGTTTGCTATTCATTTCTGTTTATGTATGTCTTATTCTCATTTCAAAAACACTCATCAGCATCTACTATATGTCAGGCATTTTGCTAGTTACTAAGATCTTGGAGATGAGCAAGACCAAATCTCTGTTTTCCTCACTCACAGCTTAGTAGAGAAGACAGAAATATAATGAAAAAAAAAAAGAAAAGAAAACATTGATCACTGCTAGATGATGCCAGTAAACAGCTTGTTATTATGAAGACTGGAAAAGTGGAAACATTTATGCTTCCTATCCTGTATGAACAGTATACTGGGTACCCAAATAGTGGATGCGTGAACATTTTTTTTCCTGCAGAAGTACTCCAGCTAACAAAAGAAGAAGAAATGATAGAAACAGGCAATTATCACATTGCAACCCCAGCCATTGACTATTAACAGCTGTGCCCAAATCACACTCAAAACAGAGAAGACAAGACATTATGTGCTTCCTGATGATGGCTCCACAGGTAGTAGTCAGACCTGAATATGATCAAACCTGTAGAACTGCACTTTTCAATATGGTAGCCATTAGCCACACCTGGCTACTGAGCACCTGAAATGTGGCTAGTCTGAAGTGAGTTGTGCTGTAACTGAGTTGTGCTGTAACTGAAGTGATTACATGCTGAAATGACAATAATTATTGTCCGGTAGTTAAATAAGATAAAACCATTAAAGGAACCTGGGTGAAATGTATAGGGAAACACTTTGTACTATTTTTGTAACTTACTGTGAATCGATACTTATTTCAAAATAAAAAGTGGTAAAAAAGGGAAGATTTAAGAGACAAATTAACCAAATGCAACGTGTGGACCTTATTTCAGTTCTTAAATACCCCCGACCCCCCAAAAACCTGTTAAAACATTTAAGACATGTATGTGAGAAATGGAAATTTGAATACTGCCTGCATATTTGTTACGATAAAATCACTGATATTTTAAAAGTATTAGAAGAGAACTGTGATTACATTAAAAGAGTAAATCCTTATATTTTAGAGATAGTTTCTCAAATACTTATGAATGAAATGATTCGTGACTGAGGTTTGCTTGAAAATAACGGAGGACAGGGTAGACGTATAAAAGAAGTAAGACTGGCCATGAATTGACAATGGTTGTAGTCTTGATGGGTACATGGGTATTTACTATAGGATTCTCTCTGCTTTTACATATTTTTAATATTTTCCATAATAAAACATTTTTTTTTAAAAAACCACCAAAAGAGATGGACAGCTTCTTAAAGGATATTATTAAGGCGGACATTTTTGACATTTAAAATATAATGGCTTGGATTATTTATAATTGACCCTTGGACTAGAGGAGTCAAAAAGATTTCTATTCAACTTCATTTTAATCGACACTATTTTTTAAATGGTCATTGAATGCTTACTATGTGCCAGGCACTAGGCTTAAAAATCTCCTACCCTGTGTACATCATTCTGCTTCTGAACCGTGGGAAAATCGCCTCCAATCGGTGCCTGCCGGCTTAACTCATCATCTTTCAGCTGGAGCCACACCAGAAGTTCTTGCAGAGAAAGGTGCAGACGCTTCCACTGGTCAGAACTGGCTTCCAAATGGGATCTGAAAAATAACAGGGGCAAACGATATCAGCATATCTAGAAGGATAACTGATGACTGTAACGAGACATGAAGGCACCTTGATTGGTTAGTTCCATAGTGTATAAAGCTACTGTGGACTACGCAGCAGTCCTCAAGAATGACCTGGCTACCTGCTTTTGAGAGCCATACAATGGGGATATTTTGATGGCAATTTTGAGGAAAGGCAGTGTTTAGCCCTATGTTTATTTCCACATGCAGAATTCTGAGACTTCTGGCATGAAATAGACCCTGGAACGGGTTGCTTTCCCACAGCGTTGCAGTCAATGATTCTTCATGTTTCTGGTAGAAAAAACGGAACCCAGTGACTAACATAAACCACTCAGTTTTCGGGTGACTCATGTCAGTAACTGGAATTCTTTCTGAAAGGTCTCTCCCCACATTTTGACTTTTCCATTTCTACACCCTAGACAGCCCCTTCCATTGGCTAATTCCATCTGGCATCTGTTCCTTCTGCTCCTCTTCCCATATGCTTTTCCTTTTCCTCTACCCTTCTTTATTCGTGTGCACCTGGGATGTGTTTTCACCAAGTTCCAACATTTTCCGCTTTGCTTCCTTTGTGTAAAATGTACTGAGACAACAACTCACGTGGAAAAGTCAAATCAGACATTTGCCTGAAAGCCTCCCCCAAACATGAATAATTTAGGCAAGAGAATGAGTGTTTTACCATCAACTGTATTTAGAACATGTTAATCTGGAGGTGCCATTTTAGAAGACACAGGTGAAGGATCTGTGCTACGAAATCCATGTTCCACTTGAGAATGTGAAGCTCAGTTAATAAAGTAAATCATAAACCAGGAAACGAAGAAGAAATGTGGCATGCTAGCAACACTCTATCCTCAACTAAGTCCAGAATTATGCTACTATATTACCAGCAATTACTAATTAATTCATAAAAATTAATGTTGACTATCATGAAAATATAATATAGTGTCTAATGCTGCAAAGGTGGAAATGTAAAGCAGCTGGGTAGAACAACATTTCCCTCTGCCATTGGAAACTTCTGGCATTTCCAATACAATTTTCCTGCTGGCTTTAGTCAAATACAATCTGCAAACAGTAACTATGTATCGAAATTAAATTGCTCTAAACTTTCTGAAGCATAATTTGATGACACATAAAAGTCTTTAAAATGTGCAAATACAATGGCCCACAAACTTAAATTTAAGGAATTGATTCTTAAGAAAGTCATTGGAAAAGCATGTAAAGATGCAGGTAGAAAATGTTTATGGCATCCCTTCTGATTGACACAAAGCAGAGACAACTTAAATATTCAATAGTAGGGAGTTGGTTACACATATAATGGTCAATTCGTACACTGCAAGGCTCAAATCTATGAACCCTATGCAATGTTCAATGTGATGGTGTAGGCAAATATTTATGGCTATGGAAAAGATCACCCTTTCAGTGAGAAAACAGGCTACAAAAATGTACACCATTTATTTTTCTGAAATGTGTGTGTGTGTGTGTGTGTGTTTCCGTGCACATGCTTTAGTATGTGTGAAAAAATTCTGACATGACAACTAGTTTATCTGTCAGAGGTGGATTTAGCGGAGATGTATTCCTTCATCTATATACTCCTGCAAATTGTCAGCATTTTTTTTCTATTCCGAGCAATAGAAACATTATATTCAGAAAGAAAAAATGAAGGCATTTCCATCAGAGAAATTAAAACGGTCAAGACTCTAAGGGCATTTATTATCTAATAAATAAATCATGAAACACCCCAAATACCATGAATTAAATATCATAGTGCAGATTGCATATAGGGTAGAGGTCAATTCTTTCATATTTCTTTTGCTTCCTCCTCTTTCAGTTACCGCTTTTCCATAAGCCTAAGTGAGAATTCCCTATGCAAGATTTTAGCTGTTTAATGGCATGTAATGACTATTGGTTATGGGGATTCCCTGGGGTGTCTGGGGTTTGCAGGCTGGTCCCCTTGACGGTGAAAGAGACTGTCAAACAGGACATTTTTAAAGATAGGTGGAGAGAGGCATAGTCCAGGCATGGAAAAGCAGCAAATGGGAGAAGAGGTGCTGACCTAATATTTATTGAGTGTCTCTAAGTCCTCATAGAGCATTGGGAGTAGGAAGAGGGGAAGGTAAGGGAGAACAGAAAGATTCCTAATGTTGGCCTCTCTCTACTTGGGAGAGGAAGTAAACTATCCCTGTGGGGAGGTATAGAGGAAGACAAATATGCACAAGATAAGCTGCCTGAGGGAGGTCTCCAGCTGTTGCCTTGTTTCCAATAGGCAGTGCACGACCACCGTGGTTCTAGGTTAAATGATGCTGACTAATTATTAGCAGGTCAGTGAAAGCCTTTCTGTCCCCTAAGAGGGGAAAAAAATAGCTTTGAGATCCAGGGAATTCAGTTCTAAAGGATCTAAGAGAAACTCCACAGCATGAAATAGGGAGGCTATTAGGGGCCAGGGACATAGGACAGTCAAGACAGTTAATAGAGGAGCAGAAGAAGGACCTGGGATCATGTATGCCATAAAGCTCTCACGTGTCCAGGTGAGGGTACCTTATTCATCCATAAGGTATGAGTTAGGTAACATTTCAGAATGTTTGATCATTTTAAATACATACCAAATGACTGTTCCTTTCTTTGCCTTGCTAAAGCATGAGTGTGAAAGGCAAGGTGTGATATGAGGACAACAAATTAAGCAAAAGACTTAGAAAGGGCAGAGGACACTGGGTAAGGGCTGGAGAGGAGAAAGTCAGAGAATGGCTTCCGATTTAAAACAACATGTGCAAAGATATCCAATCTAAAGCCATTGATCTCAAACTTCAGGGTGCATAGGAAAAGCTGGAGTAGCTTGTTTAGTGTACAGATTCCTAGGTCCCACCTCCAGAATTTCTGTACTTTTAATCAGAACCATCACAACTCAGCAGGTGAGCTCCGAGAGTATTCTCTGAGAAAGAATTCCTGAAACTATTTCTTCTGTGCCCCAAATATTATTTGTGGGTCTCCACAGGGGAAAGGTGGTATTTGTCAGTGCCATGATTTTGAAGGAGATCTAAATGTAATGAAACACCATGAGCTCAGAAAACATTTTCTTTGGCCGTACTATGCTTGTGAAGTGTTTTCAAGACGGAATTCTAATGCATTTGTCGTAAGCAGCTGCCCTATTTCTATTTTCAAGATTGTATACGGAATATTTCTAAATGATTAACTTATGTTTGTTTCTTCCTGAAAATGTTTCCTTCTATTTGTCATGAGGACTTCCCCCTCCCCGCACCTCCCGCCCCAGTTTTACCATAGGCTGTTAGAGCTGGAAGAAACATCAGAGACTGTTGTCTAACCTTTTTGTTTGACAGATGTGGACACTGAGATGCAAAGGTATAAAGACAGCTGCTGAAGTACAGAACTTGAGCTGTCATATTAAGACATGGGAACTACATATTACAGATTTTTCTCATATGAGGACATCCTTAACCTTAGTCGTTTTAAGCAAATGTTTGGGATCCCTGTGCAAAAGGCTTCCTACTAACTGGCAGATAGACTCTATTTACCCCTAACCACTCAACAGAAAACAACGAAGGAGGTTTGAAGAGGCACACTGAGCTTCTATCTACCTCCTGTTAATCTTTATTAGTGAAGACAAGAGCTTAGGGGCTACTAGCTTTTAACAAGGCAAGTGCTGATCTTTAATAAACAGATAATTTCTACAATTTGTAAGGTTTAGGTAAAATGCAGAAGCTTTAGGTGTGTTGGGATGTATTGCTTGGTCTTTAAGGAACTCTTCAGTGTCAGGACTCGAAGAATTATAGGGGCCACTAATGTGATTGTTATTTCTCTAGACACAGATATTTCAAGTGTGATTTAGTTGATGCCTAGTTTGAAATCCTTAATAAAACTTTACTCTGAATGGCATGTATTCTTAAAGCAAAATGTGTTATATTGAATTCATTTTTCACTTTGACTTCCTTTATAAAACTAATGATATATCCTTGTATATCTTTGGTACCCTTGTGTAATAAGATAGCACTTACGCATACAGAAAAAAAAGGGAAAAATGCAGAAATAATAAGGAACCACAGAAATTAAGTGGGAGCGATGGGGCTTTAAATAAAGAGAGAGAATTAAGCTCAAAGAGAAGTCAACATTTTTGTTTTCAGGTGGGCCATGAACTCCCATTTTCAAATATAATTAACATTCTGAGAGTAAAAGAAAGAAGGTCAGAGATACTCAATGTCCAAGTTGCATTTTTCTCTCAAAGGTAGAAAGACTCTGCCTCCTTTTGCTCTCTCTTTGTTCTCCATTATAGAAAAACTTCTAACTATTTTAACTTCTAATACCAAGTACTCTCTTGGGGGTTTATTGCTGCTGTGGACTATATAATGTTGGTGTTCTAGCCTCTCAAATTAATGCTCAAAATTTCATAAAAGTGAATATTTGTATATAACATTTACAAATTTTTCTCCCAACTATAAAAATCTCAAAGAATGTAAATTTTGCTGAAATTATGTTGGCAACATATGTAATTCTCATAGTTAATAGTATATACAATAACCTGGAAAATATAATCTGTTGGTAGATTAAATTGAAAGCTTCATACATATTTCTTATGTAAAAAATTCACTTGACCACTTCTCAAATTATTATTTTCAAAATTAAAATGCAAGGTTTGTGGATATAGAATATTTTAGAATGAGAAACATTTTCTTTGACTAATTACCATCCTGATGTTGGATAATGTCATCGATAACTCGTGTGTGTGTGTGTGTGTGCGTGCGCGTGCGCACATATGTCTATGGATAAATGTAAATAAAAAATTTTCACTTTATTTTTCTCCCAGTTAAATCAGTTAACATTTCCTTTTGTTTGATGGCACTCAACTATCACTGAGTATTCTTCTCATTATCCCTCTTGGACACAATACGTGTGGACAAAATACATGTGGAACAGATGGCATATCCTCTCCTTGAATTAAATTATGAGACAGTACTATACAATTTTAATTAAAGTATTATTTTTTCTCAAAGACATCTTATTTACTTTTCTTTATACCATATCTTTGAACTTAATCAGCTCCATTTAAATATAAGAAAACCAAGGTAGAAAAGTTCAGTACTTTCAAAAAGTTCAATAGGTTCATAAAAAGTGACTGCAGAACTAAAAATAATAGAATTGTAGAACGGCAAGGGAAGTTGAATAGACCACCCACATTTCTGGTCAAACCTCCTCATTTCAGTGAGGGAAAAAATTGAAGGCTGAAGCAGTTAAGTGACGTGCTTAAGATTATAGGCTAGGCAGTAACAGAGCCAGAAGAGAAATTAGGTCGCCCAACTGCTGGTCTAGGATTCTTTCTACTCTACCTCACTGACCCATTGAGAGCTTGGAGTTTCTATATTCATCTAATTTAGCTGGAGGCAGCAAGCATAGCTCTGTGAAACAACTTATGACTTAAAGGGACTTGCCATCAAGTGTAAAGGAGAAGAGTACAGGGAAGACTTTGTAAAGGAAATGTCAGAGAGGGAAATAGTCATTATGGGGTTTGAGGCAACATTTGGAGAATGAGAGGAGAGATGGCATTCCAAGTGTGAGGACCAGCAGAGGCCCACACTCATATGGGAGAGTGAGAAAATTGTTGGAGGGCAGGAATGGGGCTAGAAAGCAAAATCTACTTGGCTCAGAGGATCTGTGTTGGGAATTAACTAGATTGTTGCTTGATGAAGAAAGAACTGGGAAGAACAGAAAAGGTTGGCAGAGTTTTATTCAGCACGGTTGGTAGAGAGGGAAGGGGTCACTAGGTTCCAGTGACTAGAAGCTTCATGAGAGCAACGATTTTCTTTTGTCTGCTTTGTACACTGTTGTGTCCTCAGTGCCCAGAAGAGTGCTTAGTACATAGTAAACACTCAGTAAATATTTGTTGAGTGAACAAATAAATGAATGAACGACTAAAACATGGCCAGCAATAAGGCTGAAGTTCTTGACCAAAGGGATAATGTGATAGAAACAGTATCCAAGGGAGAATATTTTTGCAAATGTGTAATGGATGGTCTCAGTCTGTAAAGGAACAGTGTTCTGTCAATATGGAATGACATGATGAAGACTTGAATAAGAATCGTAATCAAAGGTGGAGAAAAGACATGAGACGGAAGGAACATGAATGGAGGGAAAAGGACGAAACATGGACTTGAATCTGTGAAGCACAAGGATACCTTTTATGAGCCAATGGGACTCAAAGGAAAACTTCAAAATCATTTGAATTCCAGTTCAATTAAAAAATCTATCTATCTATATATCTAGCTATATCTATATCTATCTATATCTATATTTAGATTTTGTTGGGAACAGCCATGGTCATTGGTTACACATGGCTTTCATGCTACAGTGGCACAGTTGACTCTTTTAAGAAGGGTGCAGCTCACAGTGGCCCACGCGGGGATTGAACCGGCAGACTTGGTGTTATCAGCACCACGCTCTAGCCAACTGAGCTAACTGGTCACCCCAAGCTCAATTTTTTTTATTAAAAAATGGACACTTGTGAAATCCAGCACTTTTGTATATTTTGAAATACAAAACTGGCTTCAGATTCCCTTACAGAACAATGTTATAACTTGGGCAAATGCAGGACCATTTTTCCAGAGTATCTTCAGAGCTATATTTTAGTTGTGGTGCCTTGTCCCTAAAAAATAATGGAGAAAATGACTAGATTTGCAATGCAAGCTGATAAGTGTCATTAATGGTTCTGAATCTAAGTCTTCCAGTGTTACCTATCCTATTTCATAACCATCCCAAATTACCACCTTTGCTGTGCTTCTCTCAACTGAACCCTGCCATTCTGTATGGAATGACTGATGCCCTTATTTCTACCAAGTGTCAGGAAATAAACTGAATTGCTTTGATGTGAAGAATTATTTCTTTGCCTTTTATAAGTGATTGTTTATGCCACATCCTGTATTATTAGAGAGGCGTATTAAAAAGACAAAACCATTGATCTAAATATGTAAGTTCTGGAATTCGCAGCCTCTTCGATAAGCGAAGGTAACTGTTTTCTACTTGATTAATGACAGTAAGAATTAAACTGCGGTAGCTGGCATATGGGAAATTGCTGAGAATGAAGAGCCCATATTTTGGCTGACATGCTGTTTGCCGCTTTCAATTCTCCTCTTATTTCATCAAGTTCACATGAAGGAGAGAAGAGACGCTGAGTGATGTTCAGAACAGTTATAGCACCTTTCTTTTTCTTTCTTGCCAAAAGGAATAACTTTATCTACCAATATCTTTTCCATCTCACATAGTTCATTCCTTTTTAATGACAGATGTTATAAAAGCAGCCCGTGTCATTACATATACTGACTTCTTTTAGAGTTTAAGCTAAACTCTTAAGAAAGAGCATGGAGTCTCCCTGTCTTCGAAAATGCCACTGCCTATTGTTGCCCCAGACTCGTCACCAACACGTTGACACCAAATTCATGGATCAGAGGGAGATTAAAATGAGTATCTTGGAAGCTGGGGTGTCAACTTGGGTGGGAAGACCTTATAAATAAAAATCAATCCCTCTCTCCGCCTAGACGTTTTCTTCTCTATTTCATCCTTTCGCTTATTATGTATTTATGTGTAAATGCTAGATGAGCCTTTTCTTTCTTTCTACTCTATGGCATACTATGATGCTTAAAAGCTCAGACTCGAGCCACGCTCCCCAGATCTCATATCTGCCACTGACTAAGTGACGCTGGGAAAGTGATTTAGCCTCTCTGTGCCTGACTTTCTTCCAATATAAACAGAGGATAATAACAGAATCAATCTTTTAGGGCTGATGAGAGGAGCATTAAATGGGGCAAGAACTATAAAGGGCCCATGATCTTGCATGGTATGTGATGCATATATGTTAGTTCCTATTATTTATTATTATAATATTATTATTATTATTATTTCATATTAAGTGCAGATCTTTCCAAGAGTGTTTTTTGAATTAATAAATTGCAGTTTTATTTTTTTCTCATCATAGAAGTAAATATGCCGTATGTCAAAGGCTTGGGCAATTTAGAAGAACTACAAAGAAGAATAACGTCTACAGCCTAGAGGGGGTCATTCCTCCCATTGTTCAGTGCATTCCCACGTAACTATTATGAAGTCCATTCATCCTCTTCTACCTCCCTCCAGGACTGCCCTCCCTCCTCTAAACATAGAAGAAAGCACAACGTATTTTTATAAAAAGACATGAGTTAGGAAAAGCAACTGCTCAGAAAGCAGGAAGCCTGATGTCCACTCCCTAGACTTCCCGTCATTTAGGGGACACTGAGCATTTCACTTCCCGTCCCTGCTCTGTTCCCACACTGAGCTATTGTAAAATGGGTACAGCAAGAGCTTCACCCTGCTCTCCTTATAACAATGCTGAGATACATCCCTCAGCTACTCAAGAGGAAGCGGACATACAGGAAGAGGCAACATACAAAATAGGTGCGTATATAACAGCTACAGGCTTAGCCTACAGCGGATGTGGTAACAAAATCTGAGAGAAAGCAAAGGCCGGGAAGTTGATATAATCTCTCTTTAGCTGTGGGAGCTATGGGAAGGTCTCCTCTAAACTGTTAATTATAATGCGTTACAGTATTTAAAGAATGTCTTCTGTTATACATTTAGAATAATGCCAATGACAGAATTCCATGATATGTGTAAGTTAATTTTATCCCTTTCCCCATAACCTAGTGATAAGCCAAGAAAGAACTCTTATGAAATTAGGCTAGCCGTGTTCCTCATTTAAATTCATTCTAACGTCTTAATATGCAGCTCTCCCCTGGTTATAACACATAACCACTTTAATCTAATCTGAACCCTCAAGTATCATCTCAATACCAAGCAAATGAAAGATTCATTTATTCAAAATAAAATGAATCATTTTGAAATTGGGTGATTTACATAAACATGAGATATTAGCTACTTGTGCTAGAAAAATGAGGGAAATTTTGCCATTTTGATTCATTTCTGGCTTTTTTGGCCCCTGATCTTTTCCTACCTAATGTTGAGAGACTTTTTCCGCAGCTCACTCCACTTGAAGTTCATGTTATCCAAACGTCTTTGTAACAGGGCTGCGTCATCAGAACCTTCCAGGGACCTCAGGATTTTTTGGCCATTTTCATCCAGGTTGTGATAGATATCTGTGTGAGCTTCAATTTCTCCTTGGAGGTCCTACAGGACAGGAAAGAGAACACGTGCAGAATTACTAAGCAAAAGAGACCTGCTACAAATACGAATTTGGAGAACTGTGAAAAATAAACTACTAGCTCAAAAGACATTTCAAATGTTGGAATGTGACATGAATTTCTATTATATTTATAATTATAAAAAAACAAAAGATATAAGTTTGTTTTAAGGTATATCACTACATAAACGGTAGCTATTTTAAAAAGACATTTCAATTGAGCCAACTAACAAAAAGATGTACCTCCAATTCGCTTTTCTTGGTGTGTTATCTCTTCATGTTATGTAGATTGAAAGTGGGCATCTTCTTAAGCATAATAAATTTATTCCTTGACATTATGAATTAGAACATAATATACCGGGGGTGCCAAGAAAATGTATACAAGTGGACACTTTGGTCAATGTTGCTTAAGCAGTAGTTTCCCGTAATCAGAAGTGTCTGGACGCTGATGGTAACCACTTTGATCACCTCTTGTAATTGCAGAAGTCAAACGTGACTTGTATTCATCTTTCGTCATCGGTATATATTGAGTATTACAATATTCATACAGTTTTCCTTTCTTAAAATGTGTATACATGGTTTTGGCACCTTCTATATTTATAACTTTACAAATGTCATAAGTTATATCTTCTAGTCCACAGACAGATTATACAGTTTTACAAAAGTAATATGAAATAAAATTCCATGATAAAGTACACTCCAGTCCCAATCATTTCATTAAACTATGGGTCAAGTCATATTTTCCATGCACATCGTAACCTGTAGAACTGACTCTGACCATAACAGCATGGAGAGACTAATAAACAAGGCTGTACGTGGTCCATAGTACCACCAAATTAACAGGATTTTACCATAGGAGAGAATCATCTTGAAAAGACACGTTAACTTCACCTTGGTATTATAGCATCATACATTTATTACAGCATCATACATTTATTAGCAAGATTTCCCATTTAAAATACCATTGTCTTTTTAGGCTTGACAGGTGGAAAGTCCAGAGGACCCTGACCAGAGTTATGATAAGACGTTATGCATTCAACCTCATTTGTATATACACAGATCAAGAAAATTATCATAGCAGAAGAATCTGACCTTTACATGGTATGTCTTCCTGTGTAACATTTTCAGCTTGAACCGGGGACTACAGCACTGATCCTGTTGCATAGCAATCCTGAGAAAACCCAGCAACTGAAAGAGCCCTGCTTTAAAATGCCAACTTTGCTTACATTCTGTTGACAGAATGAATTTCGGAGCACAGGCCTCACCAGTCAATAATAATCAACAGTCACTTTGTACTCCCTACTAAACGGTAGCCAGGCCTGGGGATGTGGGAGGGACCTCAAAGGGAGGAGGCCTGGAATATGCAACTGACAGTTTAGATGAAACAGCCAACTTTTCTTATCATTTTGCCATGATGAGCCAGGGACATTATAAATTCATTTTCTATATGTGCCTCCCTCCTTGTTCCCAGCAGAACAGTCAAAGCCAGAAGAACATTCCTTAGAGAGCTGCCGGGGACCAGCATTCCTTTCTGCCTACACAATGAATGGAGGCTTTGTACATTATCTGACTTGCATTTAGAGATGTGTATGCTTCTGTTCAACAAGTTGAAAAATTCATCCTGAAGCTCTGAACAATTGGATTGACCGGTGTGACTAGGAGGTTGTTTCCCCCCCTCCCTCTCTTTCTAAAATTGAATTAAATGACTCTTCTCAAGTGAGGGGGAAAAGTGGCAGCAATAACATGTTCGAAACGCTGAAGAACTGGCCTGGGTTTTCAGTCACAGCCTCAGAGATGCAGAATTTTGAACGTTGCAGAGGTAAGGTAGATGGACAAGGAATGTCTCCTGTCACCATTTTTGGCAGCCAAACTATCCCTGATGGGCCCTAAAGAGAATTCTGTCCCATTTTCTTTGACTGGAAGAAGGGGAATATGGATAGAACCACATCTGAAGTTGAAAGAAGGGAAATACTAAAGCAGATCTAGTATCATCTATCTCTATTCTATCAAAAAACAATGTTCCAGAAGGAAATAGCCTGATTTTCAAACTAGCTTATGTGATGGAAAACTGGTATTGGGCTTCTTGCAAAAATGGGGTTTAATCAGCTATACATCCATTTTGTTTGTGTCCCTACATGGAAAACCATGTCCTGCTGAATTTGCCACTCCTTCAGCAAAAAAGTGAAGTTAATTTACCTAAATAATTCAGGAATGGAAACCAAACAGATCCACGTTACCCAGATAATTATACCAGTCTTTTTCTGTATTTTCCTTTTTGTTGTATTTCATTTGTACACTACCTAAAACTTTGCCTCAGAGTACACACTTAGGGAATTCAAACCAAACCTTTAGTTGTTTCAGAAAATGAGATATTGTGACTAACACAATCAGCTTTTTATATTAAGATGCGTATAAATGTTAGTGTGCTTCTTATATTATTATATATTAGAATATATATGTTCTATATAAATATATATATATTCTTATATATTATAAGAATTCTAAAGGAATTCTTATGCCCTGCATTTATAGCAGAGACCCAGGCTCAATCAACAGTTCCTTAAGATTATGTATATCATGAAGTCGTCAACACCTTGCTGAATACATGAGAGATGGCTCAAGCATAACTAGGATGTTGACTCATGAATTCACTACCTTTGTCTTTCCTATTTAAATTACACTGCATATAAACATCTTTGTTGTCTCATCAAAAAAAAAAACAATGAATACAAAATCGACCAACAGGTATTTATTGAGGACTGATTATTTGTCTAGTCTTAGCAATACAGAAAATATAAGGGAAATGCAAGAGAAAGACTTTTCTGAAAATCTACTGTGTACTTTTTATTTAATTCACTCACATTACCAAAAAAATATTGATGAGTATTTCCTGCCAAACCTCACAGATATCATACTAGGGTAAAAACTTCTCCCCTTGGAAGTTCAGAAGTAAAGTCTTAGCATTAGCAGTAAGGTGACTCTCACTCAGTATTATTACTTGCTCAGTATTAGTTCTCTAGGTCACGATGGTGGGTTAGAGCAACAAACGATACATGTGCAGTAAAGGGTTTTACAGCTTACAAACACTTATAAATAGGCCACTTCAGTTACCCTTCCTCCTGACTCTGTGAAGTACATAATTTCTCTGTTTTGCCGAAGAGAGCACTGAGGCTCAGAGATGTTTAACTAACTTGCCTAAAGTCACATATTTTGTAACGGTCAGAACGGGCAATGGATCCAGTACTTTTGACTCGAGAAGATCTTGTGCTGTCTCCACTGCCCCATTTGATATAAGCATTGGTTGTAATAGATAGTAGTCCTTCGAGCTGAACAAGGCTACTACTACTCGCAAGGGCGGGGGGAAACCAACTGTTAAGGCAAAAGAACATAGAAAGATAGCACTACTGATTTTGCTTCAAAAAGTTTACTCACGTGGATTGATTTAGTCTGAATAAAACGTGGAATCCCAACTACCCTTTTCACTTTTCATTTTGAGACTGGGGTTCTGGGATGACCTATGAGCAAAAACTGTTTACAATGAAAAGATCTCCTTACTATGAAACATCCCTGCCGCCAGAAACAGAAATTCTCCCATCAGCGATTTGCTCTGCTGTCTCTGAGAGCCATGTGCACATTACGCTAAGTAATGGCTTGACACATCAGCATAAACGTAGTGTGGCCATGTTCCTTGGGGGACGGCAGGCTACAGGACTCAGGTAGGTTGCTCTAAAATGGAGGTGAGTATCTGTGAGGAACACAGGGCTTTTTTAGGAGGTTGGCATGCTGTGGTGGACAGTTTTCAGTACAAGTAGGCAACATGAATCCTAAGCGGGGAGGAGACATCGAAAGGGCAGGCAGGAAGGAACACACTAACATTTCCATGAAACTACATGATGGCATTTATCTGAAGATGAACCTTAGGCACAGGGGCCACCAAAAAGCAGGATGTTGGGATGGAGAATCAAGGGGAGTTCTCTGAGGACAGCCAATCTGGACAAAAAGTAACGTTCACAGATTTTTTAAAGTAGTTTCATTTCACTTCTGACTTAACTAGGAAAGATCACTCCGGCCTCAGTCACCACATTCTGGATATGCTTTCTAATTTTTCTCTTCTTTTTGTTATTGTAGTCTTTAGAAAGAAAGTTTTTTTTTCTAATTACCTTTAGCAAAAAGGTAATTTGCTGCATAACAACAGAAACAAAAGCAGTAGCATATAGCAGATATTGTCCAAAGCACTGCATATATATGAGCTCACTGAATCCTTTCAGTTACCCTCTAGGGTAGGCATTATTATTATTTTCATTTTATGTATAAGCAATGAAATTACACAGAGGTTAAGTAAAAATGTTCAAGGTCAACAGCTAATAAACTATGTGGCCAGATGTCAAACCCGGGCCGTTGAACTCTAAGGACTGCGCTCTTAACCACTCGATAATACTACCTCTGAGGTTTTCCTGCTAATTTTTAAATTTTCCCTAGTAACTTTTCCTATTAATACTACTCCTGCCTACATTTCAGCAAATCTAGCACTGCCATTAGACAATGCAGAATAATGATTTCACTGCTCAAAGTGTAATTTTATGGTCTTATTAATATGGAGACTGGTAAACAGATCTGAAGCAGTGGACACAACAAGGGAAAACACAAAATAATTGAGAAAATGGGTGCAAATGGAAAAAGAATATGTAGCCCCTCCCTCCAAAGAAACATCTAGCCTAACGCTCTGTACAGTTATGGAGCAAATTTCACCTGTGAGTATCAAGAAAGTTCAGATATGAGGCAAGTAATATGTTCACAGTGTAGCAGTTTTAGGAGTAGGGAGCATCCTGTTTCCTGCAGGGCTTTTTCAAATCTCACACTTTTCCTTCTTTTCTAAGTCTAGCTTATTCCTGTCGTCAGTCCCCTTTCTCAGCCTCCAGGGAAAACTAATGGGAAAGTGCAGTTAAATAGACATAGTTCGAGTCTCCCCTTTCTCTTTCCCTCATTA